TGCATGGAGGGGATTGGAACCATGGCAATGAGATGATATATGATGGAACGAATGTAAAACTAAAGTTCCCCCATGTAAACTATCATATAATTCACAATAAAACATTAAAAAAAAAAAAATGTAATGCCGTTAAATGGAGCTCTGGTAGCTGGTTATGAGTTGGGCTGCTAGCCGCGAAATCAGCAGTTCAAAACTACCAGCTGTTATGTGGGAGAAAGATGAGGCTTTCTGCTGAATTTACAGTCTCAGAAACATTTGGCAGGGTCGCTGACTCGAAACCGACTCCATGGCACTCCACCACCACCAAAAAAACCCATGTCTGGCAATAGGTACATGATTATTTGTTGAATGGTCTTATTAATCTAGGTGAAAGGCTGGCTTTCAACTCAGGAAGGGAATGCAATCTTTGGCTATAATCATGAAAACAGATTTTCCAGCACAAGAAAAAACATGAATTCTAATGGAACTCTAACAAAATCTGACAGGCAATTCTGTTTTCCCATCATATCTTTACAGCTCAAGTACCATAAAGTCTGCACAGCAATAGCCACCCTGTGGATTTGAGGAGGGAAAAGGGACGTCTATTTACAGTGACCAGAATGTCTGTTAAAACACACCAAGAAAAGAATGCACAGCATCAGGATAACCAGCATAAACTCCTCCCATCTATTTCTGTCAGCCCATGCACTAGCTCCTCCTGAGATCAGAAAACTGTTGTCTCACTAAAGCAGAAAAGCTGGAAGGCACTGAAGATAAACATTCACCTTCTCCTACCGCTTTCTGTGGCTAGTTCCTGGCTTGGCTCTAAGGAATCCAAGGAGTCCCCACATTGGGCCGCACCTTCCCCTGAGCACCCACATCTCCTGGGTTTCCCTTGTTAGTTGCCATGGAGTAAGTTCTGTCTCAGGACAATCCAATGTGTGCAGAGCTGAACAGTTTTATAGAGTTTTCAAGGCTTTCAGAAGCATATTGCCAGAACTATCTCCCAATGAAACACCAACCTTTCCACTAGTACTCAAGCTGCTAAACCGTATGAGACACTCCCTACTCTAAGGCTAATTCTGCTGTTATGTATTTCCGGGGCTGTGTGGCTTTCTCTGTTGACACACTTTGGGATATAGAAAAACAAAGGAATTGATGCCTTTGAGTTGTGGTGTTGGAGGAGAATACTGAAAGTGCCATGGACAGCCAAAAGAACCAATAGATCTGTTTTGGAAGAAGTGCACCCAGAGTGCTCCTTGGAGGCCAGGATGGCTAGGCTTCGTCTCTCCTACTTTGGACACATTGTCCGGAGAGAACAGTCGCTGGAGAAGGATGTCTTGCTGGGTAAGGTGGAGGGTCAGAGAAAAAGAGGAAGACCCCCCCAACGAGATGGATCAGCCAGGTTACATCATTGATGGCGTCAAGCGTGGCAGCGGTAGTGAGGTTGGCCCAGGATTGGACATTGTTTCGTTCTGCTGTGCATGGGGTCGTTATGAGTCGGTTCCGACTCGATGACACCTCACAACAACATTGCCTGGCACAGAGAAGGTGTTGTGGAAATTTACTGTAAGCTTGAGTAAGAACGGCAGTCAAACACCACCCTTCTCTGGGAGGCTACGATCCCACAGTCTATAGTGAACTCTAACAAGCAACACAGCTGAAGCCAGAAAGTCAGCTGAGATCCACAGATCGGGATTCTCCCCGAAATGTGAGAACACCACGTAGCACACAGTAACGTTCTAAGCTTTCGAGATCTACAGCAGCCTCTAGAGATGGACAGAGTTAAATCCTTAACTGATCTTTATCAAGAGAGTCCCGTCTGGGTCTGTGAGGGGCCTGTAAAGAAGGCGAGCATGCAGTTAACAAGTTCGAGACCGCTAGGTGAGAACTCTGCTCCGTGCTGATGCTAGGGGCGGCCAAAGGCACGGGATCTCCCCTCGAAAATGTGGCCTGGAGTGGTCACCAATAAACTCTAAGGGCACAAGGGTACCTTACACACTTAAAAGTGACCGAGAGGCCTTGCGACGACGCCTCCCGCTCTGGAAGACCCCAGGTTAATTCTCCAGCAAGCCGCCTTCCCCAGAAGCTCGCCGTGGGCCAACCTTACCGGTAGTCGGGGGAGGAGCCGCCGTCGTTGCCGCCCGCGCCCCGGCCCGCCCCGCCAGCTCAGCGTCCGCGACACAGGCCCCGGATCCCGGACCAGCGCCAGGTACCCGCGTCTTCTACACTCCGGGAAATAAAGGCCGGCCCACTAGCTCCGAGGCCGATAGGTAGTTCTTCAACCCTCAGCCCGTCCGCAGCTCCAACAGTGAAAGCGTGGCGCAGAGCAGGCGCCGCAGGACAGCCCCTCCGCCGGGGTCCTCGCAGAGAAAGCCCGTTGTCATGGAGACGCGGCACGCGTCAGCGGCTTTGAAGCCGCGGAAGTACAGTTAAAGACAGTTTGAGAGACCGGGGCCACGGATCCCGGAAACCAACGGCACAGACGGCGAACCTGCCTGGAGCTCGCGATGTCTCAGCCCGGTCGCCTCCGTTGGCACCTCAACCCCGGCGGGAGGAGCTCCGGGCAGCAGCCAGTTCTGAAAGTGCACGTCACTTAGCTATGGCGCGGGGCGGGGCGACGAGCTGGATTGGACCGTCGGAGACATCCGCTTCCGGGGCCGCGGCCATCACCTTCTCTGGCTTTTCAGGACCGCCAGGCTTTACCCAGGCCCAGACCCCTACCCCGTCCATTTCTGAGTCGCTGCCGCTCTCGCCCGCGTATCCTCTACCTGAGCTGTGCTGCCTGTCTCACGAAGTCATGTTGGAACATCTGGGCTCGCTGCCCACTCAAATGGTGAGGGCGGGGCACGGCACGGCATCCCTGCCCACTGCTCCAAGCCCGGCAGCTTCGCAGCCCCTATCTAAGCACGTATGTGGTGCCGTGCAGTTACCTTCCAGCCTCTTCCCTGAGTTGTACCTTCTGGTGCTCTTCTCTCCTTCCCCCTCAAGGATCCCCATGCCCATGCTCCATTAGGATGCTCATATCCCCCGGGAAACCCAGAATTGGGCTCTGCTTATGTTTTAGGGGTGTCTCTGCTGTTGAGGGTGCCCTGTGCCAAAGCTGGGAGTCCAGGGCAGGAATAATACCTTCTCGGTGGTGGAACCAATTCCTGCTTTGCTCTCATTTATATCTAGGATTACAAGGGCCAGAAGCTAGCTGAACAGATGTTTCAGGGTATTATTCTTTTTTCTGCAGTAAGTATTGGTTTTACATCCTTTTTTTTCCCCCTTCTTTTCTTTTTCTTCTCCGGCGTGACTGCATTTAATATACTCTCTTTGTCTTTAGATAGTTGGATTTATCTATGGGTACGTGGCTGAACAATTTGGATGGACTGTCTATATAGTTATGGCCGGATTTGCTTTTTCATGTTTGGTAAGAAAGCTATGGGTAATTGGATGTTAGTGCCCCCTAAGGTTTTCTGAATTGAGTTGATTTGATTGGAACTAGTTGAGAACTAGCTAGGTGCTCAACTAGCTTATGTTGCCATCCTGCTTTTCCATCAATTTCCTTAGTGTCACTGGGAAACTAGAATGCCAAAAAGTGTCACATGGTGTGAGCTGCATACAAGGATACACAGCTTATTTTCTTGGCACCTCCTCCAAGCAGTAGTCTTAAGTTTAAAACAAGCAGGAATTCCTCATGGTTTTCACAATCCCTCCTCACCTTTCCTTGAGTTGTTAAAGCCATTCATTTAAACCAGGGATGGGAAATCTTTCTGCCAAAATGTATAACATCATTTACGAGCCATACAAAATTACCAACTTAAAAATTTGGTTAAACATTTAATTAACTCACTCCTAATGTGATAGCAAGGAGCTCTGGTAGCATAGTGGTTACAAATTGGGCTGCTAACCTCAGGGTCAGCAGTTCCAAACTACCAGCTGTTCCCGTGGGAGAAAGATGAGGCTTTCTGCTCCCATAAAGATATACAGCCAGGCAAACCCTGTACAGGATCGCTGTGAGTCAGAACCAACTCCACTGGAGGCATATAACCACCACCAGTGTGATAGCTGAAACTGCTGTTGCCTTGGCAGGGCCAGATAACATGATTTCACAGACTTTATAGACAGTCCTCACCCCTGATTTAAACATTAAGGCTTCTTCATGTTACAGTATCTTGTCTGAACAGTGGGGTGTTGTTATTGATTAAGTGCCATCAAGTCGGTTTCCAACTCACAGAGACCTTGTTTAAGGTTTGAACCTTGCAGTTAGCAGTCTGCAGCTTATTCTATAGCACTATACCAGGACTCTGTCAAAGGGTTAGAATGTGTCAGTGGAATCATCTGGGAACCAGACTTTACACATAATGCTCTGTGAAGTGTTTAATGGCTGTAATTGATGCATTTTCTCTCTGTTCTGGCCCAGCTGACACTTCCTCCATGGCCCATCTATCGCCGGCACCCCCTCAAGTGGTTGCCTGTTCAAGATTCAGGACCAGAAGACAAGAAACCAGGGGATAGAAAAATTAAGAGACATGCTAAAAACAATTGATTGGGGTTTTTGTGGTTCACCTTTACTGTAGCACCTGCTTTTGCCCTTTTGAAGGAGCTAAGTTGCATTCCTACCCAAAACATGCGTTAAAAGCCACCTGTGTTCTTACAGTGCAGCTGTGTGTATATGAATTCTTTTTATATTTCATTTCTAATCCAGGTGGATTTTGATTTGTAAATATTTTAGGCTGCCTTTTCATAACCTTTTTCTGAAATGGAGAACAGAAAACACAAGTATGCAAAGTTTCTTTTCAGGTCTACATAAATATGAAGAATAAATGCCTCATAAATCATAGTACAACTATCAAAGTTTTATCATTGAGAAAACTCTGTAATGTATTCAATTAAAGCTCATAGCCCAGTCTGAATCTCATGGGTCTTTTTTTCCTCCATTCTTGTTCTGCAACCAAGACTATTCATCAAACTATTAAGAAGTCCACTGTCCTTTTCTGTATCTGCAAATTCCAAGTATATGTCTTACCAACAGCAAAAACCTATGAATAAATTTACTAATGTAAATTTGAGGTAAAGAATACTTTGGTACCCCTGAAATAAGACTGTTATTAAGAAGGAAAACATTTAATCCATGCCTCGCCTGGCATGGACCAAAGAGAAGATCCAGAAAATAAATTCTCTAAAAAAATTTCCAGAGAGCTTAAGAAAACTATGGCTGTCTCCCCGACTGCATCTGTGTCTCTTTTCTTACAATACCACTTAGAGTGGAGTGTAGGGCTTACCTTATTCCAGTATGACATAGGCACTCATTACATCTGCAAATGAGACATTTATAGGTACCAGAAGTTAGGACTTGAACATATATATTTTTCTGGGGGATATAAGTCAGTCTATAATAGACCAATACTTTACCTTTCAGAATTTGAAAGGTTATGTAGACAGGGATAAGTAAAAAGAGTTTTGCACTTGCTGTTCCTTGTGCCTGAAACATCTTCCCTTAGAAATACAGGCATGTCTCACTTTATTGTGCTTTGCAAATACTGTGTTTTTTTACAAATTGGAGGTTACGGCAACTCTACATCAAGCAAGTTCCCTGCCATTTTTCCAGCAGCATGTGCTGTCACACTTTCATGATTTTCACAATTTTTAAAAACTTTTTTCATAATGCTATTGTACACTTGGGGAGCACAGTAGCTCCATACAATAAGCACTGAACTACAAACCACAAGGTTGGCAGTTGGAGCTCACCAGCTACTTCTCAGGAGAAACATGAGGCTTTTTGCTCCCGTAAAACCTTATCAGTGTTCTCCTTTACACCTGATATTCCTAAAATAGCTTGATTATGGAATGGCTAGCTTAACTATAAAACACTTTCTATATTAGTTTATCTTGATTTAAAAAGATAGAATAAATGTAATGTTTTGTGGCTATAACTGACCCTAAAATAAAGGTTATCTAACTTCTTAAAAAAAAAGGCTGGCCAAGGGGGAAGAGCACAAGCAGGGTGCGGGACCCTATCCAGAGAAGCAATGACACCAAAGATGGAGGCAGAGATGAGGACATGGAGACAGGGAGAAGCTGAGGACTCCAGACTCATGGCAAGAGAGGGACTGGGTACTGGCGGCCAGGAGGCAAGCTTACAGAATGTGCTCTTTGGTTTAAATTATTATATATTCCTGAGTGTTTCTGTGTACACCCTCCCAGAAAAGGGAATGGAAGCAAATACTGTTGAATGATGATGCACGGAGGAGATTGTAATCATTGCAATGAAACGGTGTAATGCCGATGTTCTCCCCATGTAAGCTATCACTCAATTCACAATAAAAACTTAAAAAAAAAAAACCCACCAAACCCTATCAGGGTGATTCTGAGTTAGTACTTAACAACACTAGTACACCCAATAGGCGACATTACAGAATAAGTAAAACTGTATGCAACGGACAATCAATGAATTCTTGTGATCCACTTGATTGTGATACTTTATTGCAGTGATCTAGAACTGAGATGCCACCATAGAGAGACCTTCCTGACCAATTAAATTTATAACCATCAAGATACATGGGTATTGTTGTTGTTGAGTGTCTTCGAGTCGGTTCCGACTCATAGCGACCCTGTATAGGGTTTCCGAGGAGCAGCTGGTGAGCTTGAACCCCTGACCTTGCAGTTCAAACGGCTTTGCAGTCTTGACACATTAACAGCGCCATACCATGGGTATTGTTGTTATGTGCCTTACAGTCGGTTCCGACTCATAGCGACCCTGTATAGGGTTTCCAAAGGTGTAAATCTTCACGGGAGTAGAAAGCCTCATCTTTCTCCCATGGAACAGCTGGTAGTTTAGAACTGCTGACCTCGTGGTTCGCAGCCCGATTCGTAACCACTATGCTACCAGAGCTTCTTACCATGGGTATTAGGGCAGGCAATATCCGACAAGAGGAAGGTTAGCAGAGGAAGGATGAAGGCAGCGGGAGACACAATGTGGAGGAATGCAATATTAAAAGTGAAAAGAGATAAAGCCTGTTAACTGTTGGGACAGGGAGGGGATTGCAATCATAATGAAGCAAAGTATATGATTTGTTGAATGTAAAACTGATGATCTGCTTGTAAATCTACACTCAATTCACAAAGCTTAATGAAATACATGCCCATCACTCTTAATTCACTTAGCCTACCTGATGTGGCGCTGTGGGTTAATGCACCAGACTGCAAAGCCCTTTGAAATGCAAGGTTGGTGGTTCAAGCTCACCAGCTGCTCCATGGAAACCTTATACAGGGTCGCTATGGGTTGGAATTTACTCGACAGCACATAACAACAACATTAGTTTTTAATGGTATTTAGCATGTATCAGGGTACATTATTTGTCAGTTTTCCGGCTAGAAGGTAAACTCCATGGGAACAAAGGCCCTTTTGCTCACTGCCGCTTGTTTAGTATCAGTATCTGATGTAATTATTGTGAAGTGCCAGAGGTATTCGATATTTAATGAATGATTCAGAACTGTGCTGTGCAGTATGGTGCTACTAGTCATCTATCTATTTAAATTAGGAGCCTTGATAGCATTGTTGTTAAAGCGCCCTGCTGCTAACTGGAAGGTCAGTAGCTGGATCTCCATAGATACCCCGTGGGATAAAGATGTGGCAGTGTACCTTCTGTAAAGGTTACATACTTGGAAACCTTAGGGCAGTTTTGCTCTGTTATGAGTTGGAATTGATGGCAAAAAGTTTAAAGGTTTTTGTGGGGGTTTTAATTAAAAATTAGGTTTCTCCATCAGCTAGCCACATTTCTCATTAGCCAGAAATGGCTAGTGGTTACTGTTATAAACACAGATACGGGACATTTCCTTCAACACAAAATTCTATTAATCAGTTCTGATATGGAAGGTTTGGATAATTACTAGAAAACCAACTTAGTATACAACAGATAATTATATTTACTAAAAGTCCATACAGCCTTTCCAATAATGGATCGTATACTGAAGCCACAGAGAGAAACAATCCCAAAAAGTAAGGATTGTGCAGATCATATTAATAATACTGCAGTGTAGCTGGGGTTTAAAAGCATGAGCTTCTTAAGTACATGGGAATTAAAACACTTCTAAAAGAGAAAAACGAAAACATAATAATCAGTGATTTAGAAACTAACAACAGATAATATGTAAGTCTTGAACATATGGCCAAAGTATATTCTGAGGAAAATTCACTCAAAAAATGTTCCAGTTTGGCTGTTAGAATATCAAGCAAGCTGTTTACTTTGGAGACATCAAAGCAAGAAAAGTCAGCCCAACAAGGAAAACCTCCTAAGACAAACTCAAAGGGAACCTGGGAGCAGTCTAGTATGCTCGTTGGTAACCAACCTGGTCTACTTGTGTGTGGAAGTCGGGGGAAATGCAGCAGTGAAGACATGGGCTGAGTGAAGACATGGAGATGAGAGAGAGAAGGCTTGGCTGGTCTGAAGCTGTGTGAACTCTGAGTTTCTGGACCTACCCACAGGGGGCTAGAGCTGAGAGTGAAGCTCAGGAAGTGCAGGGAGGTGTGCATGAACTCCCTAATTTACAGCTAGTACCCATTTGGCCAGCTTAGACAGCTAGCTGATCAGAACTCAATAAGAAGTAGATAAAGATGCTTGATACTGAGCAAGTGTAAATCGTTAGAATTTGATGAACTGGACTTTTGTTATGTATGCAGTTGCTCAAAATTCCAACCAGAATGGAAGCAAGCAACAAGCTTGTTTGTTTCCTCAGTGCACTGGGTTGACAGAGATAGGCAATCTAGACATTGGCTATCAAAAATGGGAGGGTATAAGGGCACCAGGTGGCTGGTTTACAAGCTTTCGTGAGAGTGTTTAAGAACAAGGAGAGTAAGGTAGAATCCCCACTGAATAGTTTACCTCTTCTCCAGATGGATCTAGTGAAAGTGGATAGGGGATGATGCTGATAGGATTTTATATGATTCAACAAAGAGTAATTGTTAGTAGGATTAATTGTGATTGTCACAACTGTAATTGTAGATGGTATGTAACTAAAAGGAAGGAGGAAGTAAGTAGTTCATCTTTCATTTCATAAACAGATGATCCCAGGACTATCAAGAAGGTAGGGCATGAGTGGAGCGTGAGATCCTACCTAGAAAAGCAGCGATAGCTATCTGACAGGGTGGGAGAGATGGTGGCATGGAGAGAGAGCAGCTGTAGGTTGTAGACTGAGTAAGGCTGTATGCCTGCAGACAGGAGGCTGGCTTGCAGAATATGCCCTGAGGATATTTAAATGAACATACCATTTTCATTTTGTGTATATCAAATATTTTTGCTTTGTTCATTTGTGAAGTATAAAATGTAAAAGGGAAGCCACAGTAAGTAGCGTTTAAGTGTTGTTGCAGGGAGGGGATTGTAATCATTGAGATGAAACTAAGCACATAATTTATTAAATGTAAAGCTGCTGATCTTGTCTGTTAAGCTTCACTCAGTTCGCAATAAAAAGTTAAAAAAAAAAAAAAAGAAGAAACGAAGTGGGATACGCCATGTAACCATTGAGGGGATTGCAATCACTGAGATGAAATAAATATAGGATTTATGATTTGTTGAGTGTAAAAGTGATGATCTTCTCTGTAAACCTTCACTCAATTCACAATAATTTTTTTTTAAATGTTCCATAATAAGATGAAAAATAAATTAAGCACTCAACCAAAGAAAAAGAACCACAAAATAACCAAGAGAGTGGGATGAAAACCTGATGTTTAAGCAAAATAAAAACACATGAGAGAAATAGAGTATGGGGAGACATTTTTTTTTTAATTATTAGTACTAATGTACTACTGTTAAAAAATAATAGTACTAATAAAATAATAGTACTAATGTACTACTAAGTTAGGAAATTTAAGTAAAAGGGCAACTTTTCAGAGAATACAAGACGTGAATGCTGAGAAAGACCAAATGGGCACTGGAACCAGATGGGTTTATAAATGTTGAGTTCTAGAAAATTTGATGCATTTGAGTTACGGTATTGGAGGAGAATATTGAAAGTACCATGGACCACCAAAATAATAAACAAATCTGTGTTGAAATACTCCTTAGAAATCAGGATGGCCAGACTTCATCTCTTACAACTTTGTACGTATTATCAGGAGGGACCAGTCCCTGGAGAAGGACATCATGATCAAACAAGAGGAAGAGCCCCAATGAGATGGACTGACACAGTGGCAGCAGCAATGGGCTCACGTGGTACAATTGTGAGGTAGATGTAGGACTGGGCAGTGTTTCATTCTGTTGTGTGAAGGGTAGCTATGAGTTGGTGCTGACTCGACAACACCTAACAACAACAACAACAAGCTTTCAAATAAAAATAAGTAGTTGTTGTTGCTAAGCGCTATAGAATAATTTCTGACTCATAGCGACCCTGTACAATGTTTCCAAGGAGAAGCTGGTGAGTCTGAACCTCCAACCTTGTGGTTCAAACTGAGTTTGGGGTCCAGTGTTTTTACACCAAAACTCCACAAACAAAGAACAAACTTTGAAATAAAAATAAAAGGTCTCAGAAATCAGGCTGTGAGCATTGTTTCATTCACTACTAAGTAATTGTTAAGAGACAAGGAGTCTGTTCCAATGCATAACGATCCTTTGTAGGGTTTCCAAGGAGCAGCTGGAAACCTTGCAATTAGCCATCCAGTGCTTATCCTACAGCACCAATATTGGCTCCTATATTATCAACACCTGGTATAGTGCCAAGCACGTAGTAACCATTCAATAAGAATCTGTTAAATGAATGGAGAAAGAACTTTTCTTTAGAGTATTGTGTATATGTAAGGAGCTCTGGTAACGTAGTGGTTACGAATAGGGCTGCAAACCACAAGGTCAGCAGTTTGAAACTACCAGCTGTTCCGCGGGAGAAAGATGAGGCATTCTGCTCCCATAAAGAGTTACAGCCTTGGAAACCCTGTACAGAGTCACTATGAGTTGGAACCGACTCGACGGCACTTATCAACAACAACATTGTGTATATGTATAATCTTCAAAGAATGTAAGATTTTCAGATTACAAAAACAAAACACTTTTGATCAGTATTCATTTTTAGAATCCCTTGAATACAGAAGTAAAAATTACTAGATGAAACATTTTATAAAAACTATTTTATTTCTTAGATGGGCATTACCCCTGTTAAACAACTAATGAAATATGGTATAAAAACCTTACATTTAAAACATGAGACAACAACTAACACCTTGATGTATGTGACGATAGACTTCAGGAGCTAAACATTAAATATCCAAGATTCTTTAAGAAACGTTTTATCCGGTGGAAACAAATTAACAAAACCAGTTAAGTAATAACATTGATTTACAAAGGCAACATATATCTTAGTTTCAATTATATGAGAACACCCTAAATGAGGTTCTTATTACATGAAAATAAAATATTAAACATCAGTGTGTTAAAGAAAATTTCAGCTACTAAACAACTAATTCTTCAAATTGCTTCTGAGAACTGTGAATTGATTTAAGATAATCAAATTCTATCTAACTTTATTAACAAAAACAAACATTATCATGACATGCTGTGTCGTTTGTTTAGTCTCTTGCTTTCATCTCTATAGTTGAATATAAAACTTCCAATCCAGTCCAATATTTTATGGACTTGTTTTCAAGCTAATCAATACCTTAAAAAAATAAAGTTCTACATATAAAGCTGGTAGTTAAAGGCTTAGTAAACAAGAAGCAAACAAACGTCTTATAACAGGTATTTCCTCATCAAAGAATATGATTCCCATGGGATTTTCTTTTCTATGTTTTGTGAGCTTGCCTCATACTACTTTTTTTACAGCAAGAAAACCCCAAAGAGAAATAAGGACACTGAATGGCCTCTAAGTCACTGTTAAGAGTTTGTTTGCTTTTATTTTTAAGTCAAAAGCCTTTGAATATAAGTTTTCAGTTCTGGCAGCTGATTAGAACAAATTTTCAAAAATTCACATTTTCTTCAAAAAATTTCAACTGGCGAGCTTTCACACTATAAGTCATATACTTCTCACCCATATGCTCCTGCAAGCGCACCTATTTGGAAAACAGATATAAAGAAAATCAATAGAAAGTATTTTTAAATCTAATTTTAGGAGAAGGGCTTTTCTAAGCATGACACTAACAGTGTAAACAATATGAGAAAAATATGAATAGTTCACCTTACATAAAATGTAAAACTTCTATATGTCAAAGAGAAAAAGTGACACAGATACCCTGCTTTCATTTTGGGGTTTTCTTATCCACAAAACCAAATATTCACTTTAAAGAAATCCCTGACTGAAATTAATCTGCCAGCAATTTCTCTTTCACTGCAGGACATTACAAATAATTTCTTTCCTGCTAAAACACAGGTTTACTGAATATAAATTTCTAAAGATAATGTAGGGTGGTGGAGGAGCTGAGACTAAATTATGAACGAATATTTGATAATATCAGTAAAGGGAGTCGAGCAAAGCTCATTCAATCACGTTAAGATTTACCAATAGTAGATCTATATTTCTCTCCTTTTCTCTTTATAGGCCTTATTGCACCTAGCATCTCTGAGTCCTTTGCTTTCTCTGGAATCAGAATAGTCTCCTTACGTGGTCTCTTCACATTTAACAAAGACTTCAAAGTATTGATTATAAATACACTAGGAAACCATACTTAAAGAAATAGTAACAATCCTATATCCAAGAAAGTTACTTTTCAATAATGAAGGCAAAATAAAGACATTCCCAGATAAAAATGTGGCCAGCTGAACTACTTTACAAAAAAATACTAAAGGAAGATCTTCAGGTTGAAAGCAATTCAAATCCACATGAAAAGACTAAAACGCAGGTTAATTACATAATTATTTAAAAACCAGTATAAATGCCTATTTCTTTTTTCTTCACTTAACTGATTAAAAAAACAACTTTA